CATGAAAAATTTCCGCATCATATGAGCAATAGCATGTTTTTCTCTCTCGAACTGCTTTGGTGTCGTCCTCATTGGCATCTTGCATCATGTTAATCCCGCATCCTGTTAAGTTCGTTCGTTTAATCCTTATTCGTCCATCCTTTCAGTGATTATTTGACATGTTACGACTGTAAAACGCGCTCTGTATTTGATAAATTCATCGAGGGAACTATCAAAATTTTCCGGAATCAGCCCTTAAATACTATCATCTAAACTCTAATGGAGAGCGCTATCAGCGCTATCACGGCGTAGGATCTTCTCTCAGTTTTTCGTCTTGTGCGAAGAAGATGAGTGAAAAAATGAGCGATTGTAAAATTTCAGATGTGAGCGATCCGTTTCGCTGAGTTCAGCATTGAAGAAATCGAATTCTCATGGTGACAAGAAAGCTGTTCATTTCGCTGACTCACTCGGTCTAGATCTTTGCCACGTTCGCCCATTCGTCTCTTTCGGTGATCCAGACGACGAAATATTCGGCACGACACCACCACTTTATTTCAAAGGGTTCGTTCGTTCACGTAACACCAATTTACTTCGTCCACTGAAGTTTTCTTTTCAAATAACCTATCCTAACAATGTTCACTACCATTTTAATGAATTCATCACCCGAAAAACCGAATGACCTCAAATAAACCTAATGAAAAGTGTTCAGAGACGTCTGCGGTCCTTTGAGTTCATGAAGTTGAAAGAGATTCGTAGTTATAACTGTTTCACTGGATGAAATTTCAGATTTCATCAAGCCTCTTACGTGACCCCATTGGCACCAGCACCACCACGTAAAATCGGTACAATTGGCGTGCCAACGTTCACCACAGTGCCCACTTACCTGCACACGCATTTCACACCTGTAGGTGGCTATGCCTGGCAGAACAACTTCGACCCGAATGAACGTTTGATCGCCAAAACACTCAAGCAAGGCGTTTGCCTTAAGTCAGTGAACACGATCGGCACCAACCTCACTGGCATTGTTGCGGTCGTTAACTACGCGTACAAAAAACAGGTCTGCTATTCAGTTCTAAATCCACATTTTTTTCTTTTAAGATTATTTTGCTATTGTCATCACTGATAACACTACGGCCTTGTTATTAATCCACGTTAAATTATTTAATATGAAGATCTGAAGTGGTAAAATTGATGATGATTTTATGATCCTAGGTTCACAATAATCATATTTCGCACGTTTGATCAATACTGATCGCTATATGATTGTATTTGATTGATCCCAAACGATATGGCCACTTCGAGTGATCTGCTTTAAGCGAAATTACTTTTGGTGAATTTGGATCATCCACTCGTGCTTCAATCATTAATTCCGATGCTTTCAGACCTTGTAAATGACCCTCTGAAGTATTTCAGCTGGAAGTGGTCTAACAGGATATATTGCATATTTCAGGTGCATATCCGCTATACACTGGACAGCTGGCGAAGTTTCATTGACGTTCAAGCGTTATACATCAGTGGATCGATTGCTCAAAATATTGACACGTTCTCATTCTCGCTCTTTCTTCCACAGTGTCTTCCAGTTGGAGCAAAATGCGAATTCTGCATTCGGTGAGCGATTATATTTGGTGATTATTGAGCGCTGAGCGAGTTATCGCACGTTCGATCAAATCGACGTATTTTCACACATTCTTATCGTTACTTCTCACAAATTTAATTCGATACGATTTGGTAATCAAGCAAACAAACATTCTGTGTTATAGACAAATCAGTGTTCGAAGTAATCGTATCATATCAGAGAAGAATTTGCTCACGTGTTCTTCAAGAAGCTGATCTTCTTGAAACTGATGTATCAGTACTTCACACCAGTAGATTATCAGAAGCATGTTTAGAATTGAGAATTTCAAAACTGTTTCATCATCTGAGTTATCACAACCGTTTTGTTTTGTAAATGCTCACAAATATTCAGATATCAGTGTGATGGAAAGGAATATTGGGATAACAACGATCGAGTCAACTACTTGGTAGAATGTCGCGCGCTTGATCCGAGCCGGGATGAAGAAGATGAAGGTATCTTTGGTATTCGAAGATGGCTTTGAATCTGCCCAGAATCTGAGCTTCTCCGAAGCCGAGAAACCTCCAAAATGCTTCTGAATCCCTGAAGCAGCTCGTAGATACGACGAGTACGAGACGCAACTGCAATATCATCAACAGAGTCAGCAATTACTATCTTAATGATGATAACCACAACGTTATTAGTATTACTATTGTTGTCGTATTATCATTCTTATCATTGCTCATTTTGCACACAATCTTAATCGTGATAATGTTATGATTGTTGTTATTATTATTACTATTATTCTTGTTGTCCTTTGATTATTGCGATTGCGTGAAATTGTATTCATTGTGTGCCGTCCGCCGCCTTTTAGTTGTAGCTCATAGAGCTAGGCTTCTAAGAATGCTCGTATTCAAGCCGCACATTGTTTTTTGCTTCTTGTAGTTGTTTGTGTTAAATTCAGTTGGCTTCTTTTCTGTTTTTCGACGATGTGTATTCGATTACTATTGTTGGCGCTGTTGTTGTTTCAGTTATAATTGTATTAGTAATATTTTGTGTTTATATGATAGATTATTCAGTTATCATTCTAGTAGTAGGGTGTCTCGGTTTTATTGTCAGTTCAATATTTTAGTTGAACTCTAGACTTGAAGTGCTCCATTATTGTTTTCGTTGCATCAATTATTTTATCGTTTCAGTTCATGTATACAAACGATGAGTTCGTTAGTGTTTTCAGTTTATTTAAAAGCTAGTCAGTGAGTGTACGCAACCCCATTCAATCCGCTTATATCACATCATCATGTCAGTTCCAGGTTTTCGTATGATCCCAAGAATATGGATGAAGAAGCAACTTGTGATCATGCTTCTTACAGTCGCTGTTACCTGTTTTGATGGTTCGTTTGTGGAGTGGTAATATTCCTCTATAGGAACTGGGCAGGGTTGTTCAGTTGACTATTGAACAGCTTGTTTCAGATATCCACTCAAATGCGCAGCGACTACCAAATTCGTGTATCTAGCTCTTCTATTTTTCCAGCTTCTTGAAGCTTTTCGCGTGGAATTCATTTCCATGGTGCTCGGAAAGTATTCCGGATAGAGGCATTCTCTCGAACATCTTAAAAAACTCTCAGATAGAGTCCATTTTTTAAGAGTTTTGAATGAAATGCGCTCATTCAGTTGTTTTATTGCAGTCTCATTTTCGATACTGTTCAGCCAGTTTCATCCTGTGTGTTAGCTTCAAGCGAACGAAGTCATCGGAAATGATTTCTGTTTAAGAACATCTCTGAAATTTATATTATATTGTCAATCAACTACCAGAATATTGCTCAAACAACCCTTATATGTGCCTGTCGCTTGATGTGACTTTAACTCTCTCTNTATTTATTTTATTGCTGTTGTTATTATTTTTTTTCTGTTTGGTTGATTCATTATCGGTATTCATGTTTTCAGTTTCGATTGTTTGCTTCAAATTTTTTTCAACCGCAATCAAAATTTTATTTCAGCTGTCAGATTGTGTTATTTGTTTTGCTCAAGTGACAGGTACTGTGGTCAGTTTTGATTCGAAAAAACAATTTTGAAAATCTCAACAAAAAAAAGATACATCGTCGTCATTCTGATGATACGTATCGTAGAATTTGACAAATCACTTGTAAATGATCACCACATAAATGAATATACGTAAATGCTCCTCTCTGTGTAAGTAAATTCCTTTCTAAGACTCATGCAAATGTTAACGTTCTTGTGCCATTCTTATACTGCTATTCGCTCATCTTGTATTCATAAGGCACTAACGTTGATCACATTCTCTTATCACTCTTGTTATAGTGTCATATAGATATGATTTATATATCTACCTTCAGCTAGTTGAATTATTTCGCTGAGAATTTGCTAATTTTCATTGATTCGTGATGTACAGTGCGCAGTGTATATAATATGTACACAATGATAATAATACTATTCATTCAAGTTTTATCACAACAGCAAATTATTTTCTCGAGAGATTATTCGTCGGCAACATTTGGTCATTATCTGCCTTCTGCACATGATATAATATACATATATACATAGTGTTTGTATTACTGTTTATTATTATCATTCAACATTATTTGATATGGTTTTATATTGTGTTACATTTTGTTCGACTGTTTCTTTTATTGTTTCATTTCGATTGCTTTCAAGCATCAACCTATCAATGAAAACACTTCGATTTGGAGGCGCTCACCCAATTAGTGTTGCTTTTATTAGTTCATTTTACGTGTAATTCTCCGTTATTCTATGAATCCGGTGGGTTTCCAATCAATCAGTTCACTTCTAAGTGTATAGCTTTATGGTATCTCTTTGATTCATTCACAGTATTTAGCATATACTAGTGGTGTTTAGCTACTAGTAATGTGCTGATCTGTCTCCAACCATAGCTCTGAACTTCAGCAATCTTTCAGAGCGGAATGGAA